TCTTAACAATACCCAGCCCTAGTACTCGCTGTCTACTCGCTCGCTGCTCGGTGCTCTCTACTATTTCATCCTCTCTGTGGATTGAAATCACAGAACTTTTCTTTAACTGTCCATTAATTAGGAAAGTAAAGACTGGCTTTATTTCATTATTTGATGTTTAAAATGTGACGCAGCAGTTTTTAGTACCACTCAGCACTTTTACAGCTCGTTTCACCCAGAAGGGGGCGTGGTAGTTCTGAAGAGAGTGACGTAAGCTGCTCTCAGCCGTACAGCTATATGTGACACACAGGCAGCAAGATGAAGCCCCTCCCTTCTGATCCATCAACACATAATCAATGAGCTTATTAGAAAGATCTGCTGTGCCAGCGATTGGTGCTGACGCACCTATTAACAATGAATAGAAGCGTGGGAACGATCGCTAACGCTAACTGGAGCCAAACTACAGAATGGTCCAACGTTTAAAAACGATCCTCCTGCTCTCTGCTCACACACTCTGGTAGTCTGAAGGTTAGGCTCTCACACAGGGTTGAAGGGTCAAAGGTTAATTAAGGAGTCTGTTTGCCTGTTTTTCTGTCCTTTAGGAATCTACCTGACCAACATCCTGAAGACGGAGGAGGGAAACCCAGACTTCCTGCGGCGCCACGGTAAAGATCTGATCAACTTCAGCAAGAGGAGGAAAGTGGCAGAAATCACGGGGGAGATCCAGCAGTACCAGAACCAACCGTACTGTCTGAGGGTGGAGAACGACATCAGGGTCAGTCACTTCCTGTTCGCACTGGTGGTGGGCGGGTGGTTGGGGGCAGAGGTCTGACATGTTCTCTGTGTTTGTGGAACAGAAGTTCTTCGAGAACCTGAACCCGATGGAGGACATGTCTGAGAAAGACTTCGCTGATCATCTGTTCAACAAATCTCTGGAGATCGAACCTCGGAACGCCCGATCGTTACCTCGCTTTGTGAGTGTCACCATGGTAACAGTCAGCTGAGCTCAGTCTGAACTTTAACCCTTGTTAGGATGTTGTCATGTTCTGATTAATGAGAATGAAGTTCTTATTGAGACATTGAAGAACTTCCACACATAAAGATATCCGTCCCCACGTCCTCAGTGTGTCTGCCATCTTTATATCTGTGGATGGGCCCCTTGTTTATTTATTAGAAAATCACTGTCAGTTTTTTTAATAACTGTTTACTCGACTGGAAAATGTTTACTCGACTGGAAAATGTCAAAAGTTTAACAGTTCAAACTGAGCAAATATTGATATCAGATAATGAGTTCTAATCAATGTTAGACTTTGTGAGTTATAAAGACTAGATTTACAGTTATTAGGACACTCAGTAGAATATTCATAAAGTGTTATTAAGGTAGAACCATAATGAGTACATTCAGATCAACATCAACATCAACTTCATCACTGACTATCAATAATCGATAATTATTTAGGGGAAAACCCTTAATGGGCTATTAATTGTAGAATATGATCATACAGAATAATTCCTAAATAGATGCTTTCTAATGACTAAGTTAATATTAATGCTAATAAGCAACTAGTTAATGGTTAATATCTGCATCTTAATAAAGTGTTACTGCATCGTTAATAAATAATTAATGCGATTAATCACAATAAAGGTCAAAAGATGATAAATAAAATATGCATAATCAATCAGTGAGAAATTAAAGACCACTGTCAGACAGTCATTAATTATTCCTTTAATGATCACCTTCATTAAATAGTCATTAATGGCTGCTACATTAGCTGCTGCTAGCATTCACTCAGCTGTCCGAGGTGCATTGTGGGTAATGTAGGCTGCTCTGTTCATCCAGGTGAAGAAGTACACCTGTCCTCTGAAGTCTCCAGGGATCCGTCCCACCTCTGCGAGGCCCGGCACCATGCGACACCCAACGCCACTGCAGAACGAGCCCCGGAAGATCAGCTACAGCCGCATCCCCGATAGCGAGGCCGAGGGTGGCGCTGTGTCCGCCCCAAACTCGCCCCGTACGCCCCTGACTCCGCCCCCCGCCTCCGCTGCCTCCAGCTCCACCGACGTAGGCAGCGTGTTCGACTCGCCACAGGGTCCCAGCAGCCCCTTCCACTCCAGTAAGACCATAACCCCGCCCCCGACACACTGATCAACCAATCACAGGTCTGATATTATTCCCGCCCACTAACCGCTCACACTAACCTCCATCTCTCTGCTGAGACTGATCAGTAATCAATTCAGATCAATCAATACGCTCTGATCAGGAGAAAACATGATTACTGCGGAGATAACACTGCATGACTTAGTTTAGCATAAAGGCTGGAGACAGCTATCCTAGCTTAGCATAAGGACTGGAAACAGCTTAGCTTAGCATAAAGACTGGAAACGGTTATCCTAGCTTAGCATAAAGACTCGGAACAGCTTAGCTTAGCATAAAGACTGGAAACAGCTATCTTAGTTCCTTACAGTGTGTTCTCCTCTCCACTCTACAGCCTGCGACAGTATCTTCTCTGTGGTCTCTTTGCCTCACGGTCCACGTTAGTATTGACCCTCCTGACTCTCCATACATCATCACTGACATCACACTCACCTGTCCAATGACTCACCTGTGTCTCTGCAACATCACTGACATCATCCATAGTAACAGTCTGTCTCCATGGAAACTATCAGCTGGCAGCTCAGCATGTGTTATGTGTTGACGTACAGAACACATCAGAACCAATCAGAACCAACCAGAACCCATCAAAACCCACCTCTACAGTGTTCCTAAAAGAGGGGTCACTGAATGTGTACATTATATTAATGTGTGTGTGGGGGTCTAATAGTTGTTCTCTGGTCTCAGGGTCATCTTCGGTCTCCTCCATGGTGAGTTTCAGTCGTGGTTCAGAGGAGGTTCCAGTTCCTCCTCCGGTTCCTCCTCGCAGACGTCCAGAGTCAGCTCCTGCAGAGTCATCTCCCTCAAAGGTAACTGACTTGTTCTTGTGTTCTCCACTGACATTAAAGAACATTAAA